ATCACAAAAGTGCAATTATATTTATACCTAAATGCTATTTAACCGAACGATATTCATTTAAAAAAAATATTTCTAATGGTGATTGAACCATGAAACTTTTTATGTAGCGTAATTATAACCTAAATTAGCTCAAAATAACCCTAGAACCTAGAGTAAACTCTCCCTTTAAAGCTCGCCTTAGCAAACAATTTCACTCTTCTTCAAAGTCCTGCTCGCTCTCACTTTGCATCAAGTTTGTTAGGGGGTCCAAAAATGTACTGGTTGTTGTTTTAGGTGGTTGGGGTTGTAGGATATACCATAACAAACTTTTTGTGTAGAAATATAATAAGTCTCTAGATAAGTTGACTACAAAGGACAAGAATGACTGACTCCACTCCTAATCGTCATAACCTGGGCTGATCTCCTAGTCCTCATTTCTTGAACTATGTAGTATAGTACCTTTTTCGTTATTGGTCAAGCTTTCACTAGGTACCTACTCGCTCAGTACCTGGCTAAATATATATTGACAAGCTGTCGCCAAGTATTTATGTTATGATGTTATGTCTTATCATGTCATGATGGGGCCAACTGCTACTCCTATAGTATCCTGCATAAAAACGGCCAGGAGATGAGTTGGTATTCTGAACCCTCTTAGTCGCTCTTAGTTTCCTGTTATGTTTGACTTCCTATTACAGCAAGCATTGCTAAATTTGAATTTTCCTTCGTATTATTCTTGCATAAAAACTACCAGGAGTCCAATTACAGTTCAAACTTCAATTCATTTGTATTTTAGAGATTTGACAATAGTAATCGTTTTAAAAACATTTTTAAATGCAGGAGTGGCGATGGGAAACCAAACAGGCAAACCAGCGGGTTATTTAAGTGACAATTGTAACACCTCCCATAAAGTTAAAAATCTTGTCAATAATCTTTCTAGTCGTTCTACTGATGTCAAGACCAGACCCTGTGAAGATGAAGTGCTATGTTAGGTAGTCTCATTTTATGTGATTAGCTTATTCAATTTTATCTGTTTTTATTAGAGTTAACACTGAACCCACCAGAAGGCATCATTGCTGGCCCAATTGACGAAGAAAACTTTTTTCAGTGGGAAGCATTGATTACGTGAGTGAATTACTGCTACTAATTGCTACTAAACATTAAATAAAACTGATAAGTTTAATTACTGCATATGATTACTGCCACTATTTATCAAGTCCAATTAAATATTGTGAGTATAATATTGAGTCTGTTTTCACTAAATTATAATTTAATCCTCTTCCATACTGTGTTAAATTTATAAATTATTAATATTATTATTATTTAGTTAAATTTATAAATAAAGTTAAAATAAATTGTGTCACGATTTGCCTTGATAGTGTATTATGCATGTGCATGCTTTTTGCAGAGCTGTTTCTGTATACTGTACTGTGGGCCATGTGAAAACCTGTGGTTTGCTGTGCATACATTTCTTTTTCCCTGAATGCGTCTTCGAATGACCCATTTAAATTTAACTGTTTGTCTGTCAGTCTCTCTTCCTTGCTATCTAGTTAATTGTAAAATAGCAATATTTTCTACTGCAATCTGCAGTGTTGATCTGTTCTCTGATCAACAAGGCTCTCTCCTTCTTTATTACATTCCTTTGGACTATGAAGAGAGGGTCTGAGGTATGTCGTTAGACGTTACCCAGAATTTGAGATATGATTGGGGAGACCACACATTTAATCGAGCGGTATTTGGTTATTACAGTGGTCCAGAAGACACATGTTTTGAAGGTGGTGTCTTTCCGGCGCAACTAACCTTTCCTCATGACTATCCTCTCAGCCCTCCCAAGATGAAGTTCAACTGTGAAATGTTCCATCCAAACAGTGAGTTAGCTTTACAGTTTTATACATGATTAGTGTTTGACAAACCATATTGAATGACACCAATTTGAAATTACTACATTTTTTATTTTAATGTAAAAAGATTATGTAATTAGTTGGTGAATGTCCTTGTGTTGAGGTTGTGATGAATTACGACATAGAAATTGGTATATATGTTTCCAAACTTGTCGATGTTTCATGACATTTCAGTTTATCCTGATGGAAGAGTGTGTATATCTATCCTGCATGCCCCTGGCGATGATCCCATGGGATACGAGTCGAGTGCAGAACGATGGAGTCCTGTACAGAGCGTGGAAAAGATCCTTCTCTCAGTAGTCAGCATGCTAGCCGGTGAGATGATATAGTCAAGTGTTCGTAGCCAGAAAGTCTCACAGTTACGTGTCAGCATTACTCGAAAGAGAAGCGATTGGTTGAGCTTCATTCAGTGTCTGCAATTCACTTACTCAACTGGAGTGACTGACTGTTATCTTTAGCCATTCAGCGACGTAAATAGGGCCAAAACAAAATATATGTGTGGTTACCGTTACATGCCGAAAAAAACTAGGGTAGGTAGGTACTAGGTAGGTAGGGAAAACATTTTATTTTCTTGAAATATTTTATTTACGAACCATGTCCGAAGGATGTGCGTTGTGCCTTTTGAAGCAGGAACTGTCCAATTCATATTTTAATTTATTTTTTTAATTTATTTTTTTGACTTTAAAGAAAATTGACAATTAAATGTTTAGGGTCGCTGGGAATAAATAGGGTTGGTCGGGAAACCGTAACCACACCTATATTTTGTTTTGGCCTAGGGTGTTCCAAAATAGTGCTTAGTAAAAAAAAGTTTTGTTTAGTCGACGTTTTCGTGCTCACACGTGTAAAACCATGTACAAACTGATCTAGCATATCGACTTGGCTACAATAACTAGGGTGAGCATGGTTATCTCGCACAGGTGAATAGGTAAAGAAGGGTCAATTTCAAGTGAAAGTGGATCAGTTGGTCCAAATTTATTTCGTGATGCAATTTAAATTATCAATATTCAATTGAATCAAGTTCCATTCATGTCTTTCGTTTTAAGTCTTTCTTGCTGAAATTATGTATAGGTTTTATTTAGAAGTCCATACCCTATTTAGGATTATCCAAAGTAACATTTGGAAATTGAGGAATGTCGATTAGGCAATTAAGGGTTGTTGGAGAGTTTATGGGATGTCACAAATTAGCTTCAGCTCAAAAGGTGTGTCGGACCCGATATGCATCAAAGGCCAATGAGAGAACCTTGGTATATAATGTGCCTGTTGGACTCTCACACATTCCCCGTGTGTGCGTGCGAGTGCGTGTGTGTGAGTGAAAATGCTCTGTGAACTAGGATGATTGACCCTAACATCGCTGTTTGCTTTACAGAACCTAATGACGAAAGTGCTGCCAACGTTGATGCGGCCAAGGTCTGGCGTGAAGATCGCGACGGTTTCAATAAACTCGCCGAAAAGCTCGTTCGCAAGTCTCTTGGACTTCCGCAGTGATCAAATGTAGTGGGTGTGACCGATCCATTTTTTTATAATCTGTCAAGTGAAACTTGTGATGAAATGCAGAGTGTATCGATAGTATAGTAAAATAATAGTAGTGTGTATCGTATATTTGGCGTGAAATCGTGCAGTGGAATATTAGGTGGACCGAAATGTGGTAATCATTTATATTGTGGAGGACACAAGCTATCACCATGTTCTTAGAAAAACGCAAAGTACATGGAGCGAAGTAGAGAAGAGGCATTGGCAAGTAATGGAAGTGTGTTTAAGGTAATTTATAAGTGTAGATATGTAAGTGCATGTACATTTCCATTGCTCTGTCTATTGTATTGCGTTATAAAGTTTCAAACAAATGTCAGATAGCCACTGCAAAATGAGTTATAGTAGTGTTTTCTAATGGCCTGCTGCATGCAATATATCTATGCTGTACTAGTTTAGTTTGTGTATTCATATCCGCAGCAGGTCACTCCGTAAAGAACTTGTGTTCAAGCAAAAGAGTGTATTTTCTTGTTAATAATGCTGATCATTATATACTGCCGATTACTTGCTTGCTTCCGCTAAGTTCTTTTTCGTTGCTGGAGGAACACGAGGCTCCCTACCATCTCTCCAAGGTTGCTACTCATGGTCATTCTTTTTTGCTGACTTTGTGAGCTATAAATAGGAGGATGTGCTTGAACTCTGCTACTAGATGCCTGCGCCAGAATGTGTGGTCTAACCCTTATCTAATCCTGTGGCTTCCTTGCCAAGGCATGTTCGGCAATCTTTTCTAGACCATTGCGCTTTGGCGTTAGTTTTCCTGATGGTCTGCATGATTTCCATCCTTCATGATCTGTCCTAGTTAATGTTTGGTTCTGGTACGTATACTATTGCAGACAAGTTCTTCACTTGAGTGCTCGTGAGGAGATTCTCTCCATCTCTCAATTTATTTGGCTAGTTTGATCAGCACTATCTCTATCATTCCCCTTTACCGGCTAGCTTGTGTTGATCTCCCTTCCTGGTAATTGTCCTGCGATTGTGAAATGAGTTATTGCTCCTAGAAGGCCGCGATGCAGTGTTTCTGGTCTTTGTTTGCTCACACAGAAGCTTGCCATGGAAAAAATATCCCCCTATATACATGCATGCACGCACGCACGTGCAGGCGTATCTATATTATATATATATACCGCAAAAAATCTCCTTATATAATAATATATACATATATGATTTTTGTGTGACAAACTCCTGTGCTTGCCCAAGCTCTTGCTAGGTTGGTATTCTCTCTCATCATCAATCAGTGCAGTGGCGGATACAAGAGGCGCCCCCGCTTATTTTTTGTTTCCCCCCCCCCATTTGGTACGCGAAGCGTGCGCACCGGCACTATCACACCGCACCCCTTAAAATGAAATCCTGGCTACACGGTTGCGCCCCCCTATCTCAAAATACTGGATCCGCCACTGAATCAGTGGTTTGTGAAAACCAGCTTTGAAATGATTTTTCGTGTCTTGAAGTGAAAATTCATCATCACATCAGGAGTAAGATAATATAGGATATCCTATATTATCTTACTCCTGATCACATGGTACTACCATTGTATTTTGGACTACACCGAGGTGCCACAGTCAAGATCAGCTAGCTTGTAATATCTGTTGGATAAAACACGGAAAATTCACTGTGGTCTCTATTCCTTGTTTTCTGTTGTCGTGTGGTAAATGATTTCAAGTTTAAAAAAAGCTGCTATTCAAGGTTGGAAAGCTGTTAGTTGTCTAAGAGGTACCATTGAGCGCCATCTAGTGAACGACGTATGTGACGATGTGTTACTTGAAAATGTACATGATGTATTTACAATAAAAATTTGGTTATGATGCCATGAACGAATTTTCACTGTTAACAGCAGCATAACAAGAACTTTTACTGTTGGTGACATTAAATGAATAAAGTTGATCAAAATGTACACCCAATAGTATTGTTTGCATCTATACTAAAATAAAGCTATTATGAAGCACTTAAGGGGTTTAATCAAGTACATACAACGTACCAAAAATATATAAAATAGGTTAAATAATATACTGATTATATTTTACAGTGACAGCACCTTTTATGTGATATATATATATATATATATATATACATATATATATATATACATATAGATAGATATATATTGCAGAGTACTATATTATTTTACATCGCTATTATTATTTTTTTACAACGTAGCTATATCAATATAGAGCTCTTATATATTCTACAGTAATAAATATAGAACTATTATCTAATATAGTAGACTAAACAAAATATCCTGCCTAATACAATACAATGGAACAAAGTACAACACGCATTTGGTTAGGTAACAACTATTTTGACAAGATCAGGCGATTGAACTCCTAATTACAACTTAACGGTTTCAACCAGACATGCGTAACAACTGACGAAGAATCGTGTACATGGTTTGTGGACTTGTTTCATGCCTCAGCGCTAGGGACAAAATAAAAATCGTACCTGCTCCTGATTGTTCTAAACTATCGATCTGCGCAAACGATACGTAAACGATAAACGCTTCTTGCACGCAACGACTAATTACACACACTGGGCATATATAGTAAACACCGACACACATCCACACGTGCACGCATGCACGCGCAACACAAACACACACAACGCACGTGCATTCATGTCACATGAAGCCCTCTAGCAATATGGGAAGCAAAATCGTACTTGTCCTTAGACTTGTAGCCACAGATGTTGCACTCTAAGGGATTCCTGTAACCGTGGCAGCCCATGTGGATCGTGAACATGACATGGTCCATAAAGTACACCTCGCAGGTGTGACAGGCGAACAACGCCGGATTGTGAACGGTGCTGGAAGATGGCGCCACCGGCGAGGCAGGAATGTGCACGCTTGGAGCGGGAGATGTCATCGATTCGCTCTCGCTGCCTTGACTGCTTGCGTGAGAGGGTGCGCCGTGTATGCTGTCAGAGGAATGGTGGTGCTCGCGTCGCCCTATGGTGGCGAGTGCGGAGCCGTGTTGCTGGATCGGACTCGTACCCTGATACATCAGCTGCTGGCCTCCCATCAGATTTTGCTGTGACGACTTTCTTGGGGCCGACGATGGTTGCAGTGTGCCATAGATGTGGCAGGAATCTGTAAAACGAGGGTCAAAATGAAAAGCACAGATGCGTGTGTCCATAGTCATTTCCACGTGAACAATGGGCGACGAATTTTCAGTGAAGTCTGGAATTCGAATGAATGACAAATTTTATCGTAGCATGACCAAGTTAAAAAAAATTTAAATAGCTGGCAGCTAGACTTAACATGAAACCTGTTAAGTAATGTCGCAAATTGTATGCGAATGCAGGTTACAGAAACATCATGACAGTACACATGTACAGACTTACCTTCACAGTGAGGAATAAAACCCGAGTAGAACTCGGCCGTGAATAAAGATTGCTCACCCTGAGATCTCATTCGGGGAGAAGTGTGCATTGTTGTTGAAGACGAGGCGGCAACGGTTGTCGCACGTTTCTGCCGGAACCTGTGATCTTTCGTCACATTCATCCCCTGCTGTGAATGAGTTTAACAACAAAATAGCCAACAATGTGGCACCAAACACTTTTTTTCAACCGTTTCAACACACATTTGCAGCACTCTATTATTCAGAAATGTTGCATAACTTGGTTTTTCCCAAATGGTTAAAGCAAAATTGTAGTACTACGTCTTTTTCTTCATAATAGTTTTGGCAATAATGCAGCACCAAACGTTTTCTTCCTAACACTAACAGTTTCAGCATTAGTGCGGCACCCCACGTTTTACCTCTCAACTGTTTCAGCAAAAATGCGACGCCACCAGTTTTCTTAACGGTGTCGGTATGCGCACCGGCGTAGACGCCGTAACGCGCGTGCGACACACTCACAGAGACCCACCCCCCCGCGCACGACGAAGCCGACCGCACCTTTACGTTTGCTTCACCAACGCAGACGCCGTCGTCGTCGTCGTCGATCGTTTCCACCTCTCTGCAGCTGTCGTCGTCACCAGGGCGGCACTGCCGCTGCCCTCCGCCGGAGGAGCCGCCAGCGTGCATCGGCCATGGGTAGTCGTCAGCCGACTCGCCCTGCTCTCTCGGCACGACTGTGTCTTCCCTCACATCCTCGGCTGAAACTTTAAAAAATTAAATAATTTCGAAAATCCCTAACCGCGCTACTCGATTGTTTTAACCAATGAACGTAGCTGTGTGTGTGACATCTTGCCCGCGCGCTTTACGCTTGGCGTAGCTAGCCTCGAAATTGATATCAGAAGCACGCACCTCGCAACACGCGTTTGTTTACATATAGCTTTGTGACATCAGGATGGGCGGTGTCGGGAGTTCTGAAATGATAACCTCGTAATTTCTCAGCATTTTTTAAGGTGCATGAAACATTTTACCAATTTAGTGGTGTCAGTTAGTCACGGATATGTCACAGTAAGTACTAACCGTATATGTTTCACATACGTTCACCTATTTTGCACACAGGCGGTCGATCATTGTGAAAAATTGTGTGAAGATTTATTTTTATTGAAAGGTTCCAAGTGCCTGTGCTTTCATCAGTCTTTTACGTCAATGCACGTGCGTCAAGAGCCATAAACTCAACACAATTTCATCTCTGTTATTGTTTACGCCTGAATGCGTGATTGATCAGGGAGGGGGTGCATGTAAGAGGGAGACATTTTCTTTGGGGTTCCAAAAAACACAATTCCACTTGACAATTTCATGGGCCATTTCAATTGGAAGCTCTGCATAATGGACCCCCAACAAGCCCTTTGACTGACTAGTCAAGAAATTCAAAGGTCAGTATATTGCTCTTATTTAGAACAGTCTTCATTGTTATCTTCTAAAACTACAGACCATCCGCTGACCGCTGTGGAGACGTGCGCCAGGCCTCGAATTTGGCGCACGTCTCCACTACGGACAGCGCTCCATACTTGAACATCACCGCGGTCGCGTGCGCATATCCCGCATAACTGCGCGTCTCATCCGCGCGCAGCAGCAAAGCTGTGTCACGCAATCTTGTATCATGTCTCTCTGGATTTACAATAGTCAGAAATATTCATGATCCCTCTGACAATGGGCTCCTGTTTTCCAGAGGTCTTCATGTAATCAAGGATTACTGTAAGTTTGCGATAGGAAAATACAAGCTTTGAAATCGTTATGCTTACCTTCTACTTTGATATCACGTTCACTCCCTGATGTTGGCTCCGGAAAGGTTATAACAGCATCCTGGCACTCTGCCTGGAGAAAATCTTCACCGTCCTGTTCACCTACAAAAAAAAATTTGCAACCTACTATGACACTACTATGAAAAAATATTCTTTGCATATAAATGAGCCAATTCTAGAGATATCTACATCTAGTATTATAGTACATAATAAAAAAAACTAGTGAATTTGGGTTTACCGCTTCGTGATGTATGTGCTGAGATGTCTCCCTGCATATGTGAAGGTGTCACTCCGATCTGTTCAGTGTCGCTCTCTACTGCCTTAGACTGCGAAACATCACACGATGCTACAGTGCTATCGGACATCGTCGTAAACATACGTCTGCAAATCAAAACATATCACAAAGATTATAAATAAAAAACATAGCAATAGCAGTACATGTTAGATATATACATTCCTTACCATCTTTTACCAACTCATTGCACAGTTCTTTTTTACACCCCAACAGCAAAATAGATCTTACACATCTATTACATTCTAACTAAAGAGCAGCTGCTAATATTACTTATATATAATCAACAAGATTAGCTAAGTAGCAATAGTAAAAACCTACATATATCAATTTGGTAAAAAGCTTTACATAACTAACACTGACACCAAAAGTCATGCATCTGTTAATTGCAATTATTTTTTCTGATTCACTAATTTATGCACGGATGCGACCAATTGTAATCATTGTACCTGTGCTTTATCTTTGTCGGTATGTGATGAGCATACTGGTAGTGTAACCTTAACTGTGTTGGCTCATCAAACTGTCGTCCGCACAGCAAGCACTTTGTCTCGTGCAGAAGGTGCTTGGAAAAGTGTGCTCTCAATGTTTCTTTTCTTCTAGACTGAATCGGTCAGTGAAATGTTATCACCAAATTGTAATATGGACGCACACACATGTATAAATAAACAACTATAGAATAAATTTAATAGAGATATCAGGAGTGAATAAAAATAAACATGGATAAATACAGAACAAGAAAGAGAGAATAACAGATAAACAAATACCATGGTTTTTCTATCCACCAAAATGTTTAATATGCACCTAGATAGTTACGATGCTCATTCATATTGCAATCTTCAAAATCACTGAAAAACAATTTGCTCTGTGATTCCAAAATAAGTTTAGTGCACCACTCACCGTGAATGAGCATATTGTACAGCTAAAGTTCTTTCCAGTGGAATGTGTGACCATGTGTCTATTCAGGTTGTTAGATTGTGTGAAAGCCATGCCACATAATCGACACACATATGGACGCTCCCCTGCAAATGCAAATGCGTGCTGAAGCTAATATCAATCACCTTTACAAATGCAAAATCCAAAGAAAATCACAGCACTAGCCAGATGCATCACATGGGCTAATAATGCTGTACTATGTAATCATATTCATAACCACTTTTTACCTAACAACTCGTAGTATTTGTACTGTACAAATGATACACTCATTGGAGATATTTCTAGCTAACGAAACTCACTCACTCATCACCGCCAATAACAGCAATAAGCAACTAAGATGCGCACCTGCCCGAACTCTCATGCACACCTTCACCGTTCACACTAACAGCCGGTAACAGAAATACATAACCAAGATGCGTACCTGTGTGCACTCTCATGTGCACCTTCACCGTTCTACCGTAGGGAGCCTTGTAACTGCAGTATGGACACATGTATACCATTCTCTGCTGCACAGTCTTGTCACCATCCTCTGTCTCGACTGGTACCTCTGACAACACGGCCTGTGGTTGTAGTTCACTCTCAGGTTCAGCCATCACTTCATATTCTTGCTCAAACATGTGATCTAGCATGCTGCAATATGAATGCAATCAGTATTGAAGTGCACGAAACTCATTGAACTTACCATCTTATACAGTATATATACAGATACACAGTAGCAATAAGCATTAAAGTTCCATGACATAGCATGCATCTACATGTATTACAGAATGAAGCACAACTTTTGCATCATTATGTGATACATGCAGATTTGTAATATTGTATATCATTTCATGATACATATCAGAGGTGCATAAAGTGTAGTTGTAAAGTTTGCCATCAATCCTGAGCCCATTTTTCCGCTGATTCCGCAACTCCAAGGACTAATTGAACCAGAATGTCATACGTGTCAGAAATTCACGCAGAAGAATGAATATTAAGTTCTTTAAGCGCTTAGCGAGTTTAAAGAGCGGATTCACGTAGTTCAGCAGGTCACCTAGTGATAATAATAACGGTATGTCGTATATTATTATTATACAATCATAATGTAACATTACTGTATCTACTGATAATGTAACCCGACCAGGCTGTGTGACTAACGTCAATATACACAGGTCCACTAACCCTAGCAAGGACCGTTTCTTAGAGCTACTGATAATGTAGCCCGACCATGCATGGCGCGAGACTAACATCACTTAGTCCGAGCTGACGCAGACCCCAGTAATGATAAACCCGCACCCTCAGATTAGCAAAGCGGAGTTATAACGTCTGCATTTGCAGACTAAACATCACTCATCACAGCAATACTCCTAATAGGCCCCCTACATGGGTCTTTTTGGGGGGTCTTGAAGTTGATAGGGTCTATGTCCCCCAGGGTACTGCCGGAACGTACACTGGGTACGGTCCGGTATACCGGAACGTACCCTGGTACTAAATACTACTAGTAGTAGTAGTAGTACTATCTAATAGTAATATGCCGGACCGTACCTCGCCTACCCCACTAACGAGTCTAGGGAATCCCCTACGCCTACTCCCTAACCCTAACCCTATACCTAACCATATCAGCTAGATAGTTACCAGGGTACGTTCCGGTATACCAGACCGTACCCAGGCTACGTTCCGGCAGTACCCTGGGGGACATAGACCCTATGACGTATGAGCGGTATTGAGTATTGTGACCGTTTCTTGGAGGGGTTGTTGAACTTGTTCAACTTGTACGTTGTAACGACGGAACATTATCATCAGTGCATCAGTTAAAAATGAGATGTCTTCGTATTATTATTACTTCTACTGTAACCTTATGTTCAGCAGGAATAGCCTAATAATATTGACACAATTAATAGTAATAATACGTAAACAATACCTAAACCACTTGATTTCCTATGCATTGAAATTAATACAGAGAAGTGATAAGCTTTAGATTGGTTCGCTGTCTTTTTATTTCTGTCTAACTTCAAGGGTTTGGTTTCTAGATAGAGGACAGGTAACCAGTCTATAATAAAGCCACAAAGCGCAGCGTATTGTGGGATCTTTCAGCTATTATTTTTTAGGAACCTCCGGTTACTACTATCACACTACTGTCTGAGGCGCCTTGATTCATGAGAACAGAATATACAATGTATAGATTACATGTATATTTCCACGTATAACAATATAGCACAATGTATATATTGGACCCAGTCCACACAATGCATAAATATATTTTACCCACAATGCGTTGCGTTGTTGCCATAACAATGTGATAGCACGCGGTCCGAGAGTCGTTGACGTTGATCAGTAAGTGTATGTAGTAAAATATATTGATTGACAATTACAGGTAGATAGCTGGAAAGATAATATATATATAACAATTGTAGAGTCTGGTCAGGCTGTTTATAGGTTCAGCCGCACATTTTAGTGCTCTAGCCTCTACAGACTACACTCTAGTCTAGATTCAGGACCCCCCATTCAGGGGCGTACGTAGCTCCAAGAAACGGTATTGCTAGGGTTAGAATATCGAGAGTATAGAATATTAGAGTATAGACAATCCGTCGCACAGCCTGGTCGGGCTAGGGCGTACGCGGGTACCTACGGAGAATAGGCTGTATAGCGCCTATGCCGAGCACTGGCAGCCACAGGGGCATGTCGCGTACTCCGTGGCCCATAAATATTCTGATTTGGCTGCTCTCTAATAACATGCAAGCTTTCAAATAAACCCGGAGTAGATTGGCAAACACCCAAGGTGGACTGGCTATATTCTATGTTGTAACTTGTATATATATTAATGGGTTACGTGGTAGGCCCCTACTGAATAATTATCGTGTAATTAATGTAATGGGTCTAAAAATTTCGGGGAACTAGTTTTCATTGTGATTAGAAGCGTAGACAATTAGAGATGTTCCAGAACTTTTTTTATTTTGTACTAATCTGGCAGTGTGAAAACTCTCACTTCTGACACTCATGTTAGTGCGGAGTCTCGTAATCGGACCATTTCAAGGATTGATTGTTACATTGTAACAATTAACATGTCCTACAAAGGCCTCGTGTTGTTTGTTCATTACTGTCTGCGATCTGTTGACCTTTGCTTTAATTATGCAGAATTTGTGAATGTGTGCTGCTATAAAGGCTGCGAAGCAATCAATAATGAGGATCGATGAAACTTCATTGTTGCTAATTTTGTTAATTTGTCTTAACCACAACCGCCTTGTCTGACTTTAATAGAAACTGCTCAGTGGCGCCCCCTTCAAGTGTTCTAGCACTTGCATTATTGTATATATATATATCAAGCACACGTAAAACTGTTTAGATCATGAAAGTATATATATAGACATTTATATGCTGTACTATAGGCCGATAATGTGTGTAGTGAAGTTATAGCCAGATAATGAGATATTGAAAAAACTCACAATATTTTAGGTGAGATGAAGGCTACTTCGGATCTCTCGCTACACAAGTTCTCACATCCCGCTAACAGCCACTTGAGGCGATCGAGCGTGGTTGCCAGCACTAGGATCCAGACGAAGCATGCTCTGCTCCATTCACGTGGCGCTGACGCCAGAGCGTTGAGCGGCGAAAAACTGTATAACGATCTGATGCGGGATATTATCCAGGAGACCAGACATCACGGAAGAATATCTGTACAGCAGAAATTACAGGTGTGACACAATTAATAGATATTACACTACACACGCACTACACTAATAAATATATCAGGAGTAGATAATAGGGAACCCTATTATCTACTCCTGATATATATATAGAGAGAGAGATGGGCTAGTACACCGTCGCCGGTGGCACCACTGTCATTGTAAGCATTGATACAGCTGTTAGTTTCAAAACATTGAAAACTATTTCTAATGAATATTGAACAATGAAATTTTTTATGTAGCGTAATTTAAACCTATTTTAACTGAAAATATACAAGGAACATGAATATGAAGGAGTCCTGTATTTCTATGTTTTAATGAAATTTTGTCCAAATACTTGTGCATAGTTTCACAGGCAGAAACTGGAGTTAATGGCAGAAGCTCTGCCATCTTACAGATCCCTTCTAACTGCAATAATGCATGCATATGACTCTGCACTTACTGAGAATCATCATGTGGAAGAAACAGAGCAATCATCAAAGGTTTGCTTCTTATGTCGCATCTTTAATAAACCACATCTGCTGATAGCATAGAGTGAAACTAACGCTCATAGGATCTATGTCCCCCAGGGTACTGCCGGAACGTACCCTGGGTACGGTCCGGTATACCGGAACATGCTCTGGTAACTTCTTGATATGGTTAGGGTTAGGGTTAGGGAGTTCCCTAGACTTGTTAGTGGAGTAGGCGAGGTACGGTCCGGCATATTAGATAGTACCAGGGTACGTTCCGGCAGTACCCTGGGGGACATAGACCCTCTCAGCGAAACTAACAATAACATTTTGGTCTGAAGAAAGTAAAGAAATATTAAGTTTTGACAATGCCTCACAAATAACTCATGCAATATGAATAATTCCAAGTAAAATTACTAATCAGGAAAAGAGTTAATTAGTTTAGTCACTGTTGACAGGGAGTGTTTCTCTAATTGCGATAATCTGCCCCCCCCATAATTGTTTTCCACATTATAAATACTAGGACAAATTTTCATCTGTGGAGGATAAACAGAGAGATTGCACGACAATCGCAGAAAGTGAAGAGAGCAGCGGTGAGTGCCCGGCCTATATACATATATTTACACAATTTTTATTGCATTTAATTGCATCCAGTTGACCTATTTATCTGGATTGGTTGGCTGGTCGCTCTAGCCGATCAGCAGTGTGATAGAGGCGTTTTGAAAATGTTTGTTAGTAACACAGTGCCGCAAAATCAGAACCTCAGGCTTTTATGAAGTAAAATAAAATCGTTACCTACGTAGTTTAAAGATAACATTGTGAATACTAGATGCCCATCAGATGCAAAAAGATGGTAACAAGGTATTGGAAATAGTTGCCAACCTGAAAGAAGACAAACTTGGCTTAGAAGTGATAGTTGAAAAGGTGAGTTAATGACTGCATGATCACATTGATGAATTGCTATACTCTCTTTCTGAGAGGATGCGTGCAAACAATTTTAGCATCAGTTATCGTGGCATTACTTGGTGGTAATTTAATAATTTCTGTATCACTGTTATTTGCATTGTTATCGTATCGATATACATATATAATCTCATTCTCTTTCTGTTGTTATTATTATTGTTTTTGTTGTTGCTGCTATTGTTGCTTCTGTAGTTGTTATGGTGATGGCAGTGGTGGTGGCAGCTGTTAATGGTCCTGGTCGTGATGATGATGCTTATAAGATATCAAATCTGTCATATCTAGCATATCTGTCATGATCAAAATTATTGCAAAAATCTTAATCATCACATGTAATTGCAGCTAAAGTCATCGCTTGCGGAACAGTACATGGACTACAGAGAGCAGCATGATGCCCGCCACCTACTCGTGCTGGAGATAAATGAGCTCAGGTTTCACCTACAGGAGAGAGAGCAGCAGCGGACGGCACATGCTAGTCAGCGTTCACACGACGATCCAGTCATTCTAAGCATCGCGCTTAAGTATGCCGAGTTTGTATGTGACCATCTTTTCGTGGAAGTTTGTTACTCGATAGCAAGCTGTGCTTAATGGGTGCGATAGTCGCTAAATAAGTATAGATCGAACCTGCAATTTTGTATTTTTAAATGATTAAAAATTAGCTATATCTCTAATCCTATGACTGCATATATATATATCTCTATTTAATTTTAAAATATTTTAGACAAATCCTGTATGATATTATGTAATTTATATCCAAGAAAGCAAATATTTAATGATAAATACTGTAACATGTGATGTACAAATGTTTAAATAGAGTAGTCAGTGGAGCTAGACTAGGGGTTGTTTTAGTGATGGTCTATCTAGACACAGCGTCGCGCATCTTGTTGCGGCTACATTGATGTATTAGGGAGAATTGTAAACGTGTTTTAGGTCGGGAGTTTCTAGGGCGACTGTGAAATGGGTGGTGAGCAGAGCGGGTGTAGACATGTGGGATTATGGCAGGGTTTTGGAGAGAGAAGAGAGGAGTGGGGAGTTATGTGCGTGTGCGCGTTGCGTTGTCTTTGTGCAAGATGGACACACTGTGTGCGAGCAGTTATTAAAGTTTATTCCGGTTACCACACAAGTTTTGGATTCCTTCTATATCATTTATTCAACGAACTTCATTTCAACGTTACAATACATATTTTAGAAAAGCCACGTTTGCTGTTTTTAACCAGTTTTTTTGTGTTAATATTTTTTTACTACACAATTGGGTTTAAAACAAGTAACTATTTCAGGAAAGCTAGGGAAGACTTGGCAAGGTGTTCGAAGAAACTGGATGAATTGGTCTTGAACTATAGTGACGTTGTACCAAGGAAGGAGTTCAAAGATCTGGACAGTAAATTCCAGGTTAATTTCAGATTTTGTCAAATATAGCCATCATTTGGAACATGTTATTGCTCTTTCTCTCTTATGTAAACACAAATAGCCTGGTTTCAGTGACATTCGTGCTTCCTAAAAAGTTTTCTGTAAAGTGTTTTCAAAATGTTATTTGCCTTTGTAACAAAGCGTGTATTAAAATATTCTACTGATGGGTCATTTAAAATATAACACAACCTCAGTTAAATGTTGAGATCTACCCATTTAATTGTTTTTGTCTAGAAATGTTTAATGCTAGTAGCACTTAGCTACTGTTCTCATTGTATGGTCTATATCTAATTTTGTATAGTGTGGTCATATGTACAATGCTAAAATTTGTCGCACATTTCTGGCTTATTAAAATCATTTCGTGACGTGTTAAAATATTGCATTCATACTCACAGGTGGAGTATATATCTAAATGGGGCTGTGTGGCTCATAAAATAATTAGTTTACAATTACAAACGTAGTTAGAGCATTAATTATCGGTGCATGCTGTTAATCACCTATATAATAACCAATCATAGAAATAGCACCGATCCTCCTACAAGATGTTTAAAGTAATAAATAATAATTTAGTAAATAATATATGTGATGATAAAGTAATAAATCATAATAACATTAATTAATAATAATGAGTTTACTTTTCAGATAGCAGAAAAGCAGCTGAGAACTCTTACTGGTAATCACACTGCCTTAATCACGGAACACGGGGAACTGGTAATCTGTAACAGGGAGGCAGTCAGCCAAAGAGATGAGTATCGAACCAAGTGTGAACTGCTGGGGCGCAGTGCCTCCCCTAGGCCGGATTGGGCTGATGTTGCTGACCACTTCCCTGGAGGTATTCAGTTAGTTCCTAGACCAACCAGTGTTATGCCTGCCACCAGCAAGAGCTATTGGCTCGCCACCTGGTAACAAATAAATGGCGTCGCACGCTAAGAGAAGACCCTCCATGTGTGGCTGGCTTTAAGTGGGACAGCTAGGAACGGGGGGGGGGGGTATTCAATGCAGTCATTAGTTCCTCGAACAGTGGTAGTTTTGGCATGTACGGTTTTCATTATGTGATAATCGCGCGGAGCTTGTAGCTTGTAACTTGACATCTTCGTTTCAAAACTAGCACAGGTCTAACCAGCTTCATTCAGTGTTGACTGCAAATATTAGGAGTGTTGCTATCCCCCGGGCGTGGAGGGATCGAGGGTCACGTGATACAGTTGGCGTATACTTCAAAATGATTACACATACGGTAACGCTAACTCCAACACCTCCAACGCTAACCATAACACTAAACATATATATCTCGGAGCGCTATATATAGGTTCTGTGATCCACAAAAATTAATCTATGGTGTGGGGACAGATATCATGATGCAAAAACTCTAACCCTAACCCTGAGTCCCTGACCCTATACCTAATCCTAACACTATCCTAACACTAGTGCTGCCACGTTACGGTAACCTCCCTCCACGCCCGGGGGATAGCATTACCCAAATATTAGCAGCTTTATGTCCAATCCATATATATATATATATATACATATTATCAGGAGTTAATAAAGACAAATCTTTTGTCTTTATTAACTCCTGATATTATATATATATATATATATATATAAAGAATTTCATTTCCTTTAATAACATTGCAACACAAACCTAAAACGCTAATAGCAGGAACACATACCTGTACATAGTATATTACATATACATATACCGTAACATAGTATATTGTTGCAGTATAACAAAGACTCGTCATACTATTAACGATATTGAGCTGTTTAGCCTATCCGGTCTTAATTTTATTTCCCCAATTGTCAATTGAGAGAAACGATCATTGTGTACACCGTTAAATATAGGGGCAGTGAAATGGAATGAACTGACAGAGCTTAAATCCAGCGCAGAGAAAGTTATGATTCTCCTTGAAGATTCTATAGGTGGTAGATATGACGAGGAGGATCCAGAGTATTTCACTGGAAAGGTAGAAATGTGCAGATGTGTGTGAGAACGTGCGTGCATGCGTGCATGTGTCTGTGCAGATCGCACATGCGCATGTATTGTGTAATTATCCTGTTTGTTGGAAAAATATTCATATAACTCACAATGCTGAGATAAGACATGTTATTGACACGTTGACTCTATCAATCAATTCATTCATTTCTTCATGACACACTATAATGATTTAATTGCTGTGTTTAAAATGTAGGGAACGAGCCTTGATGTGCCACAATACCTCCGAACTGTAGACAGGGTAGCTCACCATGCAATGACCTGGCAAGAAACTTCACAGATAGTTCAAGATATTTGGAGGACAAAAATTAACAAGGATGAAGTTAGTTACACATTGTATCAGGAGTAAGATAATATAGGATATATATCCCTATATATCCTATATATATCCCCTATATATCCCTATAGGCCTATATTATCTTACTCCTGATTGTATCATATGTGGTAATACCGCGAGCCTACTACCTACGTTTGTCAAATATACAATAGACATTAATTAAATGTCCTCTGGCTCATAATATTACCACAAGTGCCGCAGAGCGACAGCGCTCAACTGACGTGTACTGTAGCCGGGTATACAAATCCGTGTTTACCCCTCCTCTTGCGGGTCAAAAGGTTATCAGACACTTACTCTTCGCACGTCAGCGGAAAGCTCATTTCATGGTCCTTTCAATAAAGTGATAAAAATGTTAGGTCAGCACTGAAACAAAAAAGTTTTGCACTCGGTACGTTAGACCATGTCCTCAGAAAATGTCTGATATCTGACCTTTCCCCCACTGCCCTTTGACCTGTGACCTCCAATTTCGCGCTGGTGATGGGTTTCCTCCCCATCACACTATGTATCGAATATTAAGAGCGTAGGTAAAGCCGTTATTTTTGTGCCGCAATTCCCTATTTCCTCCTATTCCCTTTCGCGGCCCCCCCCCC